GGGTTTAGGGTTGTGGGGTTCAGGGTTGTGGGGGTTCAGGTAATTTCGTAGGGGCTTGGGGCCTGGTTAAGGTTTTAGGGCTTAGGGATTGCTTGGGAAATTTTGGGGGTTTAGGGTTTGGGTTTTGGGGTTTAGGGTTGTGGTGGTCAGGGTTTAGGGTTCTGGGGTTTTGGTGGTTTTAGGCTTTAGGGCTTTGGGTTTTAGGGTTTTGTTGGGCCTTTGGGCGACTTTGGTTTGGCGAGGTATAGCTCAGGGAACGTAAAACCAGAATCCCAAAGTTAGTTCCTAAAGCCCCGCTTCGAAGTCTACGGCTTCGCGGTTAGGGCTTCGGGTTTCGGGGGGGGTTCGGGGGGTTGTGTGGGCTCAAACTCCAAACTTTCAAATCACAAACGCTAAACCCTAAACCCCTAAACCACTAAACCCTAAACCCTAAACCCCTCTACCCTAAACCCTAAACCCCAAGGCTACCACGGCCAAGCTGCAAAAGCCAAACAGCCAACAGCACAATAGAGTCAGCAATGCAAGCCTTGCGCTTCAAGCCACGTCCACGATGCCGAAAGGAAGCTCAGCAGGTTCCTGTAGTGCTAGACTGCAGAAGGATGGGGTTTAGAGGTTTAGGTTTAGGACTTTAAGGGTTTAAGGGCTTAGGGTTTAGGATTGTGGTTTAGGGTATCAGGAGGGTGTATAATTCTGTGTTGGTTATGATAAAGATGAGTATCGTCATCAGTGCTGTTATCATCAACATTGCTGTCATCTTCGTTCTTGTAAGACGTACAGTGTACAGAATATATAGAGTTTGTACATACATAGATAGATAAGTGCATATACATACAACTATATAATTAAAACAATAGATAACTGATTGATTGATTGGTTGATTGATTGATTGATTGATTGATTGATTGATTGATTGAGACTTATATATATATATATATACATATATATATATATATATATTAATTATATGTATGCATGTATAGATGGTCTCCTGCTGGGCGCTAGACCTTTGAAGTCGACGCCGCTGAGAGCAGATCAAAGGAGGTTTGCACCTGCTGGGTTTGTGTTTAAGTTTAGGTTTAAGGGTTGAGGCTTTAGCTCTCAGAGTTGAAAGTTTAGGGGTTTAGGTTTCAGGGTTGAGGGTTTCGGGTTTAGGGTTTAAGTTTAGGTTTAAGGTTTCGGGGATGAGTGATGGGTTCAGTTTAGGTTAAGGGCTTGCGTTTAAGGGACCCCTAAATTTGAGATCTACATTCCAAGCCAAAAGCCTCTGAAAGTTAAGTGTCTATGTTAGGGTCGAAGTAAAGGCCTACACCAGTGGTTCAGGGCATTTTCAGGTGGGTAATTACCGTTATAGGAGCCGTATAGAAGGTCTTTTTAACTTCAAGCAACTGTGCACTGGTGGATCTCCTTGTCTTGTTAGGAGAATTAGCTCTTTATTCACGGGATTTCATAGGTCTCTTAAGGTCCTCCCGGGTCTTATAGGGATTTTTGAGGGCGTTGTAGAAGGTCTTTACAGGGGGTCTTAGCAGGGTTGTAGGGCTTTTGGAGGATAAAGTTTCGGCTGGCGGTTTCGCCTAGCATCATCAGGCATAGAATGGCATGTGACTGAATGTTCTGAGTACTGGCCTTGACTGGTAGTCTTGCACTGCCAGGAACCGTGCTACTCTGCGACGACATGGGCAAGAAACGGGCTCAGTTGTTGCACTTATTCTGGGGCACTGAACCTGTCTAGCCCAAATCCTCCTAACTGCTGCACATCACCAGAGTGCGCAGCTGGATCGAGATTCGGAGGCCGAAGGTATGGGCAAGGCCTTTGATCTCTCGCTGTAAGACTGTTCCAGCTAAGGACATCGCTCTTTCGTGGGCGCGCAGTGCTGCGAGCTGCCCACAACAAGGACCATTGAGACTGACAGAATGTTGCGCCCCGCTGCCCCGATGTGCAGTGATGGTCATGATGTTGCTGATGATCATGATGATGGATTATGATCATGCTGTTGATGGAGCATGATGATCATGATGGTGGTGATGATGACAATGCTGAAGAAAGAGAAAAGAAGACAGAGATGACTGTGCTGATTTGGTGACGATGATGATGATGATGATGATGATGATGATGATGATGTCGATGCTGGTGATGTCGGTGATGATCATTGATCCTGATCATGAGTGTTGCCTTCATGTTCATGATGCCGATGTCAGAGACGATGATGACTGCTAGGAAAAGGCTTATCGTGGCGGTGGTGGTGGTGGCGGCGGTTCTGCTGCTTCTGCTTTTTCTGCTGCCGCTGCTGCCGTCGCCGTCGTCGTCGTCGTCGGCCTCCTTGTTACTGCTGTCTTGATGATGCTGATGATGACGAGGACGATGATTTGCGATGATATTATGCTGCAGCTGCAGGGCCTGATGGCACCTCCTGTCAGAGCCGTGCTTGTTGTTTCGTCGCTGTTCTTACCTTTATGAGAATTGGTCTTGTCAGTCTTATCATTCCCTGACGTGTTTGACAGCCATGGCCCCTTTCTTAAGTTTTGGGATGCGCAGCATTTGAAGAGCTCCTACAACAATTTCCCCAAACCCCAAATCCTGTGGTGCGGGGGACGCGAAGGAGGAAACCCATTGTGCCGCACGCATCGGTGACATGCAGCTGGTGCGGCGGTGCAGGCCAGATGCAGCACAGAGTCCTCGAGAGTGTAGGTTTCTAGCTTAGAGCAGGAGCCCGAGCCCGAAACCCCCGAAACCCGAAACCCTAAATCCTAAACCCTGAGTCCTAAACCCCTAAGCCCAAACCGCTAAACCCCTAAACCCCTAAACCCTAAACCCAAACCCGTAAACCCCTAAACCCTAAGCCCCTAAACCCTAAACCCGAGCCCTCAACATCAAGCTAGAGTCCTCGACTTTCTTAACCTCCAAGTGCTACATCCTGGACTGTAGGCCGCCGAGATCGAGAGGAGGCGCAGATAAAGCCGAACCCTAAACCCTAAGGGTTTAGGGGTTTGGGATGTAGGATTTAGGGTTTTAGGGTATAGTCTAAGGATATCTGAGGTACATGGTAGCCTAAGCCCTAAACGCTCTAAGCCCTAGAGAGCTCAGAGGAAGTCGAAGAGTCCTTCACAGCAGTCTGACCCTACACCCTAAACCGTTAATAATTACCGATAATATTTTGGGGGTTCCTTATTACAACTAGAGTACAATGTATCACCAAACCCCCCTACTATAGAACCCTATCATAGATCCCTTATAGAACTCGTTAAGGATCCCTTTAAAGGAACCTCTATTCTCAATATTAGGGCCCCCATATGATGGCTTTCGGCTTTCGGGGTCCCAAGGGCTCCAAAGCCTTGTAATAAAATACGATACTTACCCAGAGAGCCCAATACAACTTCATCAAGGAATCTAGCTTGAATTATACGGGGCTTCATATGAAGATCTACGCTATGTTCGGGTATTGGACTCTCTGGGTATATGGTATTTAGGATCCTTCTATAATCTACTCGTAAGGTATCTCGTACCCTACAGCAAACCCTAAACCCTAAACTGTAGTATAGAGCTCAATGAGCGTGAACATCAAGCCCTCGCGGCCCTAGACCCTCTACAGTAGAAGCCCAAAAGTTGGAAACCCAATGGCCTCAATCCTAAAGAGTAATGTATAGGGAATCCCAGCACCATTTGACATTAATCCGGTTTCCAACTTTTTGGGGCTTACTGTAGAACCTTTGGGCCCGAGGCCCCTAGACCTTAAACCCTGAATCCTCCTAGCTTCCAAATGCATTGCCTACAAGGCCCTATGTAACCGCCCAGAGAGCCCAATACAGATTAATTAAGGAATATAGCTTAGATTGGGGCTTCATATTAAGATCTACGCTAAACTCCTTAGAGGGTATTGGGCTCTCTGGGCGGTCTGTAAGATTTTTTGATTCCGACGCTGCATGCGACACACTCGCAGGAGCCGAAAGAAAGAGCAGGTTACCTTGGGCATGCGCGGCGCCTCGGATGGAATCCTTCGACATGGGTTTAGCTTGAGCATGGGCGGGTTGTCATAAGGGGTATCTGTTGGCCCTAAACCCTAAACCCTAAATCCTCAACCCTCAACCCTAAACCCTCAACCCTAAACCCTCAACCCTAAACCCTAAAAGGTTGTTGTAGGAGTCTGTAACAGGGTTTTGCAAAGCTTCACCGGCTTTCACAGGGTCGCGACTTGGGTTTTCCGCGGTTTAGGGCGGTTTAGGGTTTAGGGTTCAAGATCCTTTCGGCCGGAGACCAATAAAGCTTAAAAATCCTCAACTTCCTTAACCCTAAACCCAAATCCTCGTCGATCACTGGCGAAATCCTGCATACCCTGAACTCCCCCGGTAGAGTGGCCTTACGAAGCCTTGGCAAGCTTGAAGCTCCAAACACACAGCCCCCAGAACCAAAGCTCTATGTATGTATGTATGTATGTATGTATGTATGTATGTATGCATACAAAAACATATATATATATATATACACACATATATATATATATATATATATATATACACATAATATACTGTAAACTCTAAATTGAACAAATCAAAATAACAAATAAACAAATAAGTAGAGAAACACACACGCACACATATATATATATATATGTATACATATATGTATATGTATATGTATGTATATATATATACACACACATATATATATATACACATGCACATACATACTGGATATATCAAGCACTACCCCGCTCCTCCCACGCCCACCAGGCTGGGCCACCCTTGCGGGGGGATCCCCGGTGCCAGTGCCCAGTAAGTCGGAGGCGAGGCCTCCGTGTGGGGGTTCTAGTAGGGTTTAGGGTTTAGGGTTTAGGGGTTAGGGGTTTAGGGGTTAAGGGGTTTAGGGGTTTAGGGGTTTAGGGGTTTAGGGGTTAGGGATTTTCTGTGTTTAGGGTTTAGAATTTAGGGTTTAGGGATTTTCTGTGTTTCGGATCGGATTTGCAGGTTTTCTGATGGGTTTCAAGAGGGGTTAAGGGGTTCATATAAAGGTAACCCTCATCCCTGAACCCCAACCCCAAACTTGTCTCACAGATTTCAGATTTTGCCTAGGCATTAGGGCTTGGGGTGCAGGGTTCAGGGTTTGTGGCTTTTTAGGGCTCTCGGTGTTGTCGAAGCTTGAAGACGATTCGCAGGGGCTAGGTTTCGAAGGACTTAGCAGTTGGGGTCCGGAGGGTCCTGGATTTGTGGATATTCTGTTGGGTTTTATTTGGAAGTTCATATGCTTCATACGAGCACTTCAAGGTCTAAAACCCTAAACCCTAGACCCTTAAACCGCACTTGCACGCTCCAGGTCGCAGGGGCTTCGCGGATTCGGTTTCTTCTTTCCAGTGTTCCATCGGTGAACATGGAGGTTTCCGAAAATTAGGGGACCCGAATATAGCACCTGAAATAGCAGGATCCTTATGGTAAGGACCCCAAAATAAGTTCTGTAAAAAACATATTACTTGTTATGGTTCCTAGAGCGCTGAAGCCACCTCCTCAAACCAATTAGCACCTGCCCTAACCTTCTAAAAAATAGCTTCGCGTAGACTTATGCGAACTCTGAGCCCTCAGACGCAGTTCCATTCCCTAAACCCTAACCCCTAAACCCTAAACACTAAACCATAAGCCCTAAGCCCTAAACCCCAAACCCTAAACCCTAAACCCTAAACCCTAAACCCAAAACCCTAAACCCTAAACCCCTAAACCCCTAAACCCTCATAAGTGACCCTAATTTAGAGAACTACCGGTGTCAGGAATGGTTCGAGACCCTCCGCTGTCCCACTGCCGAGGAGGAGGCACGAGCCATCGGGTTCCTTCTAAGGGTTTAGGGTTTAGGGTTTAGGGTTTAGGGGTTCAGGATTCGGTGTTTAGGGTTTAGGGTTTAGGGGTTTAGCGTTTAGGGTAGGGTTTCTAGAAGGGTCCCTTCAAGCGGTACTACAGGGTTCTGTCACTGTGTCCCTGTAAGGGGTACTATATTGTTCTATCATAGGGTCCCTTTAAGGGTTGCCTCTAAGGCGTTTAGGGTTCAGGGTAGAGGGGGGCCTATAAAGGTTTTTATAAGATGGGAGGGTCTCGCGCCCTAAACCGCTAAACCCTAAACCCTAAACCCTAAACCCCTAAAGCCCTAAAGCCCTAAACCCAAAACCCAAAACCCTAAACCCAAAACCAAAAACCCTAAAACCCTAAACCCTAAAGCCCTAAAGCCCTAAATCCCTAAAGCCCTAAAGCCCTAAACCCAAAACCCTAAACCCAAAACCAAAAACCCTAAAGCACTAAAACCCAAAACCCAAAACCAAAAACCTTAAAACCCTAAACCCTAAAACCCTAAAGCCCTAAAGCCCTAAAGCCCTAAACCCTAGAACCCTAAACCCAAAACCAAAAACCCTAAAGCCCAATTCTCTCCCGAGGATGCCTTCTTCGACTTGCGCCCAAAGGCCTGGCGCGAGAGGTCGGCGTCCGCAGCGGAGAAGCCGGCTGCCTACGAAGTTTTTAGGGTTTAGGGTTTAGGGGTTTAGGGTTTAGGGTTTAGGGGTTTAGGGTTTAGGGTTTAGGGTTTAGGGTTTAGGATCCTAAATACCATATATCCAGAGAACCCAATACCCCTTAACTAAGGAATATACCCTAAATCTTAATAGGGATCCTATTATAATTTAAGCTATACTGCTTAATTAAGGTGTATTATACCCCTTAATTAAGGAATATACCTTAAATCATGAATCATAATATTAAGGCTCCTCTAATTTAAGGTATATTCCTGAATTAAGGTGTATTGGGTTCTCTGGGGCCTTATCAGGGAGCCCAATAGTAGCCCTTACGGTTGTAGGGGTTTAGGGTTTAGGGTTTATGGTAGGGTGTGGGTTAATATTAGCCCTTACGGTCTCTATAAGGATTTCTACAAGAGGTTCACGACGCAGCCTGTTAGGAAGCACTTCTTCTCGGGCTTTTGGGGGGGTTTGGAGCCCTGAAACCCAGCGGAACCCTCGAACATTTTTCATGTTTAGGGTTCAGGGTTTAGGGTTCAGGGTTTAGGGTTTAGGGTTTAGGGTTTAGCGTTCAGGGTTTAGGGTTTATGGGTTTAGGGGTTTAGGGTTTAGGGTTTGGCTTCTTGATAAATCCCTTCGCCAGCGCTGGTTTCAGGGTCTTGCAGGTGTCTTCCCCTCTTTTGAGGGTGTTGGCTTCTCGGGGACCGAAAACCCCCATCCCTCAACCCTAACCGAACCCACAACCCTACCCAATCTCTTTAGAACCCTCTTAAACATGATAAAGCACAGAAAGCACCGCAAACCCTTTAAAACCCCGTTCAACCCTAAACCCTAAATCCCAAACCCTAAACCCCAAAACCGTATACCCTAAACCCTAAACCCCAAACCTTAAAACCCTAAACCCCAAAACCCAAACCCTATACCCGAAAAGACCCTCATCAAGCCCAGGTACGGTCTGCGCTCCCGTGGCTGCCGCCAGGGCACGGGATCTTACGGTCAGGGCTGTGAGGCCCGGGAACCCTAAACCCTAAACCTTAGCGGGT